TCATGGTACAAATAATTCCGTAGAATCTTGATTGAAATGTCGAGATATAAATTGATGATCACATCAATTTTATACAGGATTTTTTTTTTATTTTTTTTTCACTTTTTTTTGTAAATTTTGAAACAAATTTTTTATAACACTTTCTCATGTAAAATAAAGTTAAATTTATAATAAACTTTTAATTTATTTAATATCATAATAGGTATATTTTATTACAACTGAAATACAAATTCTATAAAAGGAAAGTGATCGATGTTCACATGATTGGAATATTTTACCTGGAGGTGTGTAGGTAGACGCTTATAATAAATTGATATTAGGTAATATATGTCACTGCCCTTACCTTACTAATAATTGCAATTATATGGATTGTGGTCAGGAAATATATAAAACGTTAAGCTGAAAGAAAAAAGTGACTGATACATTCAGACTAACAATTTACATCTCTGAGTATATCTAAGGTCAGGTTATATAATCAGAAGTCAAAAGAGATTACTTTGTGACCAAATTGAATATAGGAATTAAATTAGCCGATATTATTACATGAAAAAAATATGTAAATAATATTATGTGAAATACCTTAATAGCTAAGTATTCTTAGTTGAAATTATTACATTCCGCTAAGAGTACTTATCTATATAATTCAATAATATTATCTATATCAACTTCAGACAAATTATCTTTTTTATTATCCTGTAATTTTGATAATGTTCAGTAGCGTGTAAATTCTAGGCTAACCACTTTGTATCATGTGTTTCAAAAATCTATTAGTAGCTTATACTCATCCAAATAATATAATATTAAATATTGTTCTAAGGACATTGCTCGCTTATTAGTAACTAATTTATATATATTATCTTTATACTCTATATTGTCTTGAAAAATTTCTGCAAATAGTGTTATTAGCTTTATTCGAATTGATTCCTTCTGCTTATCTAATGCATTGAGAAAGAAAGACCAATAAGCATCATTTTCTGAATATTTTATTATTTTATTAACATAAGTAGTATTATATAAATTTTTCGCATAAGAACATGCTTCTTTTCATAGATGGAATATGATAATCTCATTTTTTTTCAGATTATCATGTAGGTTTTTGATATATGCCTTAACCTACTTTTCAGTTGATTTCTATACTAGGTTATCTTTCATGTTTGATACTTCGTCTTCATCTAAATCTTTATCATCTTTCAATTTTTCTATAGATTCAGACGACGGTTGGTATCTATCATTATAATTGATAAAGCGCACATAAAGACTTATCACACTCTTTAAATAATAGCTGATATCGATTTTTTCTTTACTACATCTAGAAATTCTATAAAATCCCCTTTTTACTTATTGATTACTTATCACAATGATCAACTACAATATACTCAAAGCACTTGTCTAGTTTTGAGATTTCATAAAGATAAGGCTCAGGTATTAAGTCCCTTTTTATGAGCTGTTTGACATTGATTACTTTACGGATATGTCTATCTTGCATCTATGAAATGAAATACTAAATGGGTTTATTATTTTTATCAAGCTTCTACACATATATTTAAACCAGTTCGCTAGAGTCTACTTGGGTAATATTATTTACAGTCTCTTGGAGCTTATCTTCTAAAATCTGATGCATAATATAAGTATTATTCAATCTTATAGAATTTTTCATAATCATCTTATCCATCTTGTGAAAATATTTAGACTGTTCCCGCTTTACAATCTCAACATCCCAAATAAAAAGCTTATTATTAAAGTTCAGCTCTCTTATATACAGAATGCTGTAGTATTTCTTTTTTCTAGCAAATGCTACTAGGAATAAAACTTTTTCATATACTATTTTGAGATAAAGAGAATTGTTATCTTTCTTGAAAAAGTCATTAATATTATCGCAAAGTTTTCCAATTACTTCTATAAAGATTTTCACTATTCTAGACCAATATTCTTCTTTTAAAATCCTATTGCTATATGTCTCATCACATTTCTGAAAGTATGCTTCTGGATAAATTAGATATAAGAAATTGGTATTATCATATTTTATCTAAAAACTCTTGCTTTTAATGAAATTTGCAACAAGTTTAATATTTCTCTGTTTAGCAGATGTGACATCTCCAGCAAGTTCACACAAGAAAAAAGGAGACTTATTATCTCCAACTGTATCATAAAATGAATTCATATATACCTTAAGAACATTTATTTCGCATCTAAGCAAAACAAACTAAATTGTATTCTGTTATAAATTTATGCTTTTTTATATTGATAAAATAGTATAGTTTTTCGCTAAAATTGGCATATTTTTTTCTCTCTATATTTGCTTTAACCTGCTCGATAGCTTCTGATAATGATAAATCTTTACCTATTAAACCTATTACTAGTTTTATGTCTTCTTTTTTATCTTTTAGAGAAGCGAAACGTTTTTTCATCTCAATCCGTTTACTATATAAATATTCCAACATATTAGTATAAAGATCTTTTTCTTCAGAATGTTATTATATTCTATAGATTATGCAAAAATATCATGATCATTGAATTTAAAATTAATTTTATGAAGCTTTTTTCCACTTTCTTTTAGAGAGTTAACATGTTTTTGAGATAAAATGATTTTATCAGGTGAGAGATTGTAAGTTATAATAAGACTAGAATATAATGATGCAAAGTTTAAGCCAGTTATAGAACATCTATTTTTTAGTCCTTTTATTAATGAGAAGACATAAACATCTAGAAATGATTCTATTTCTATTTGCTTTGAAATTGTATTGGTTAAAATTCTTTTTTACTATATACTAGCACTTATAAGATTGCTTACTTTCATTCCTATTGTAAAATAATACATATTGAATAATGATATAAATGCTATACTTGTAACCTTTCTGTACTCATTAATTACATTATGCTTAATCATTAACCGCTAGCAACTAAGAGCATCAATGATATAATACTCAGCTATTTTGCATATTTATTCAGCCGTTATGACATTTGCCTCTTTTAGTGTATTTTTATAATACTTGAACATATGGTAAAAAAGCATATTCATTTTACTTTTGAGTCTACATTTGTTTAAGTTAAATGCTAAACTGCTTTTTTTTGCCTTAGAATAAAATTTCTTAAAATAGGATTAGATATCGATAGTCACACATCCAAAAATTTTAAGATGTTTTGAACAGAACTTCTTATCATTAACTTTTATCATATTATATTGATATTACTATTTTATAATCTTTTCGAGGCTCATAGATTTTAGTAATATATAATTGAATATCTATTCGAGAACTCTCAACTTCTTTTAGCTTTCTCTACAATAAATCACCAATCATATTGAGAGGCATTAAAACCTATTTGTATATTAGGAGATAAAAGTTTCTAATATAAGGTGAATGCTTTTAGTAAATTGGTCTAAGATCTGTATATAATTATAGTCTAATGAAGATCTAACGCAGTTTTAACATTGACAAGACAAATTTGTTTTAATGAATTAAGATCATCTTTCCAATGAATTGACATGCAAATCATAAATATATTAAATTTATCACTCTGTGCAGTAAGAAATTTGCCTAGTCCAAATGAACTATATGTCTCTATATCTTATGTAAGAACAAAAGTTCAATCCCTTAAAAGCGCTGAAAAAATTAATGAATTATTATATTTATCATCGTTTATTGGGATATAATTGTTTACAGATACCTGAAAGAGATAATTATTTTCTGACAGTATGTATAAATAATTACCCAATAATATCTAGTTTAAAAAAAGTAATCTTTCTTCATAAGCTACTTTGCAATAATAATACGTAGGATTTAGATCATCAAAAGTAATACTAATACTAGCTTTATAAACTGCTTTTAACGAATTATACTGATCAAAAGTGATTCTATGTCTTTACACGAATATATAACTTATTTTCTATATAATATCTTTGAAGTAGAAAAGCATTAATAATTTCAAGCCTGAACTTCGATATGCTTCTGAAAATATTAGATAATATCTTTACCAATTTGGTTTTAAATATAGATATTGGCATCTTTTCAAGTACTACGACATTAAAAAAAGCTTGATGTCTGTAATATTTATAACTACCTTTTGCACATTAATTAGAGTATCAGTAATATACAAAATATAGGAAAAGTATCCCTTGATATTATCACTGATTTCAGTAGGCATAAAGTATATGGAATACTTATTAGATAAGCATTGTTAAAGTATAGCAGTCATTCTGTTATTATATTCTGCCACAATATTATTGCATAATGAAATACTAGTTAAAGGGCTAATACTATCATAGTAGACAAGAATTTCATGATCAGTTTAATTGAAAATAGTTAGTGTATACATGATGTTAGTTTAAAAAATTATACTATCTCTATAAAATTCAG